CTGTTTGTACAGTATATTCACAGAAGATCTGAAATGCAGAAATAATTGCTTTACAACTGATAAGGATGCAGAATAATAAAAAGGGAAAGTCGAGTATCATTCAGAGTGGAAGAAACTACAAAACAGCCTTTGAAATGTAACACAGCAGCTCTAATTGTTATTCTAGCATGTTGATTCTGTATTTTACTGTGGAAGGATGGAGAGAGATAAGGAAGTAACATTACACAGCCCTGAATCTGTAGCCTCCGCTAAGGGCATATATTCTCTAGGTTTAAATAATTGACAGCATCTTAGCATGGTCATAAAATTCCACGCTTGAATGAACTAACAGAAAATACAACTTCAGACCTATAAGCCTGTGGCTACATAAAAAAACCAATTGTAGAGAATTACAGTCAATTAAAGCTAAACTTCTTATTTTGGTTATCCTCATTGGGAAAGCTCATGAGGGAAGAGTTTCTCCAATCTTTATTGTAAAGATCATTTTTGCTTCATTTAATACCATTTTTATTTTTTGTTGCTACTAGACTTTCTGTACATAGGGCTTCACTTTAGGAGCTATTAAACATACCCTGTTTTTTCTTAGAGTGCAACTTTTTTTCTCAACTTCAACCACTTGCCAGATTCTTATGAGCACATAAAATACAAGATAGATAGATAGATAGATAGATAGATAGATAGATAGATAGATAGATGATAGAGAGAGAGATTAGATTAGATTAGATTAGATTAGATTAGATTAGATTAGAGAGGAGAAATGATATTAATTAAAACATGATGAACTGAGTATGTTTAGTTTAATAAAGAGAAGGACGAGGGGGGACATGATAGCAGTGTTCCAATATCTCAGGGGTTGCCACAGAGAAAAGGAGTCAAGCTATTCTCCAAAGCATCTGAAGGCAGAACAAGAAGCAATGGATGGAAACTAATCAAGGAGAGGGGCAATCTAGAACTAAGAAGAAATTTCCTAACAGTTAGGACAATTAAATAAGTGGAACAACTTGCCTTCAGAGGTTTTGAGTGCTCCATCACTGGAGGTTTTCAAGAAGAAACTGGACAATCATTTGTCTGAAATGGTAGTCTCCTGCTTGAACAGGGGATTGGACTGGAAGACCTTCAGGGTCCCTTCCAACCCTGTTATTCTATGTTCTATAATATCATTCTTAATATGAAATGGAACAGTTTCCCACAATCAGCATTTCTGACTGAGATTTTCATAAGGAGCAACAATTCTAGATACTATCTAACTCAGTGGTTCTCAACCTGTGGGTCGGGACCCCATTTGGGGTCGAATGACCATTTCACGGGGGTCGCCAAACAACGCAGTCCGCCATTTTTTTCCCCCTTTTCCTTAGCTGTGCTACTCCCTTTTATTTTATTGGCTTTTGAAAGCCAATAGAATAGAATCTCTTGAATAGAGTCTAATTCTATTGGCTTTCAAAAGCCAATAGGAATTGTCCAGGCTGTCTCTGCCCTGCTGAGCCCGCCAAAAGTCCCATTCTGCAAACGGTGCTGCACCAGTTGAGTAGTCCTCGACTTACAACCGGTTGAGTAGTCCTCGACTTACGACCGGTTGGGGGTCGCAGCATTAAAAAGGTTGAGAACCACTGATCTAACTGATAGAATTTTTTTTTTGAAGGGCTGATTTGTTTCTAACATAAATCCCAGCATGTATGCCTTGCTCTTTTCTACTGATCAGCCAAAACATAATAGTCCAGAGTACATTTTCCTGTTGCTCATTTTACTGAAATTTTCAAAAGACTTGAGTCCAACGAGTCTGCCAGAATTACTATTTATACCAAGGTAATGAGGAAATGGTGCCAGATCACAGGCTTCTCTAATCAATCAATAAGAACAATAAAAAGTATTTTAAGGATTGGTTTAAAGGTGCAGAGGCCTTTATGAACATTTTCTTTTACCGTAAGCAGCTTCCGCACTATTTTGTCTTTTGAAGAAGATTAGAAGAGTGTTCTGGGCATGAAGTGTTGAAGTAGCTTAGCTGTTTGTGAATGAGATGTAATTCTCGACAGATCTGACCTCCTTGCTTTTTAGAAGTATGAACTTTGCCATCTATTTCCAGAGGACACATATACAGCAAAACTGTATACAGCAAATTTTGTAGAAAAGATAGGAAATCATGGATAGCCTTTGCTCACCTAGGCTTTTTCAATTGCTTTCACTGCTGAAGACACAGGCTAACAATTTCCCTATATTTTAATTAACAATAAATAAAATTGTATTATTCCATGTGAGCTACATATATTCTTATTTGTACATGCTATCACTTCTCTGGATTCTAGCCTGGCTTTGTCATTAATAATTGAAAGGTCCAACTTCAGCATCAGCAACAGTATGTAACTGCCAAGGACCAATACAGATAGTCCCTATTTAGTGACCACAGTTGGAACAGGGGATTCAGAAAGACACTGCAATGATCGTCAATGTAGGCATTAGTCCTAAAGTTATATCGTCATCACTTTAGTAACTGGGAATAGTTGCTGTCTGAAAGTCATTAATCCAGGAGGACCTGGATTGCCCTCTTCTCCTCCTCCTACACAAATACCTGTATCTGCAAGCTGTTATTTATATTTTCCAAAAGGTTCTAGAGTACTACTACATTAAGCTTTAGCTGAAACCAGAATTGTTCCTCTTGGGACTGATGAATAAATAGTTAGAAAAGAGAACAGTTTTTATATAGATAACTGCAGTGAGAGTATTGTATGCACAAAGACAGAAAGATATGACAATATCTACAACGGAGGACTGGTTGGTGAAGATGGCAGGACTTACTGAAATGGCAATAATGGACTTGTTTGATTAGAAGAAATGCAATGTTTACATTTATTGGTGACTGGAAACCACTTATGGACTTTTTGTATATAAAAAAATGGATTTATATGTATGAAGGAGAAGCCTCTTCTTTATACCTGCTTTATATCTTTTTTCATTCTATTTTTCTTCTATTCTTTTCTTTCTGCACCTTTAGCTTTTTTCTCCCTTTCTCTTTCTTCTCTTTCATTCTCTTTCAATTGGTATTAATTCTTATTGTTAAAACTTTTATAAATACACACACAAAATATATACACACAAGTACATGCACACATAAATACATACATACCCACTACATCGGGCATTGCATGGTACAATGTTTCTCAACCTTGGCAGGGTGTAGGCTTCAACTCCCAGAATTCTCCAGCCAACAACATTGATATAAATCTGTATATTGGCATATCTTATGTCAGCTTATTTTTTTTTATTTTAAGTCAACATCAAATAAGTCAATATTAGAATCAAACTATTATGCAGTAATTAAAAATGTAATCATTATGACTCAAACTATAAATTATGAAGTGACATTTTAAAAGGCAATAATTTATACATAATATAAGAAAATTGGCATATTGAACAGATCATAATGAGATTAAATATTTTAGTCTTATATTGGAAAAAACTGAAACTGTGGATATGATACAAACTCATTCATAAAATTTTAGTCCAAATTATGAAATCAGTTTTGACAAGAACATAGACTCCCATAACTCAATTTGTCATTCTTCTACAGAAGAACTTTTTGTCTTAAGTTTTTGATCTATCACTGAAAATCTGTGTATGTATTCCAATGTCACAATGCAAAGAAGTGGATGAATCCTTTTGAAGGCCCAAAGAAATGTCTCTGTAGGGGATTTCAAGGGAAGGAAAACTGAATTTCTTCATTTACCTGGTTCCCATGTCATTTAAAATTTAAATGTAAGTATCTTTAAAGTAGGGTAGGGGAAGCCATGCATCTAGTTTACGGTTGAGGAACTGTAGCCTCCCAGATGTTTATGGATTATAAATCCCAGGGCCCTCTACTCTTTATCATATTACCTGGGGCTTCATGGCACAGTGGTTCAGAAATATTTGGAAAATATAAGGTTTCCCAGTTCCTGTAACTGTTCAGAGTGTCTAAATCTAATAAAGCAAATTCTTGCCTATGGAAGTTGTACAAAACAGTAGTAATAGTTACTATTATTAATGGTATAGCAATATTCTACTGCAACAATATGATTTAGATACTGTTTTATAATAACAACCTTGCATGCTAATTTTAAGGGAAAAGAGTTTGTAGCCAAATAGAGATGCCTTGGATATCCTTGAATGATAATGATGCTAACTATAGAATATGATGTTGATGTTAGATTACCAAAGTACCATTTTAGTGAAGGAGCATTCTATTTTTATCAATTATTAAGTTACAAATAAAATATTAACCAACCAAGACCATTGAAGTCTGTTAAATAATAGGCATGGAGATGCAATTCCATCTAGAAAGGATATTTTCCCATCTTTTGTTAGAAGGACTAGAAAAGGTGGAATGTTTAAGTATGGTTTTAGTCCAGTCAGTTATATATAAAAATATATATAACAAAAAATAAAGAAGAAGAAGAGAAGGAGGAGGAGGAGGAGGAGGAGGAGGAGGAGGAGTTGGAGGAGGAGGAGGATAGCCAGAAAACTCACTTTGGGTCACATTTTTCCTTTGTGATACTTTTTGCTCTTCTATTCTGGCCATTTTAGAACAGCAAATGAAATGCTATGACTCCGTAACTACATTTTGCTGATTAATCTCTAAAATGTCATAAAGAAAATGCCATGCTTGCAGGTCTTATTGTCTGGATGAACAGTTTGGCCCACTTTGGATTGCTGTAGATATAAGAATGAAGTAACAGTTGATTAAGTGTGTAGGCAGAGCAATTTGGTTGCCAGCAATGAAACACCTCACCATTTTCCTCTGAGCAGTTCAAAGAGAGGCTGATGTGAATCTAGCCCCAAAGCTGCATATCCAGGCATAATGGAGGTTTGGAACAGCCTTGAATCAATTAAGCCAAACACACATTAAGGCCTGATTGTAATAATAAACTGGTACTGTATTAACATTTTGTTCATTAAACCTGTTTAATTAAATTTAATTGCACTTTTCCATTACGGCTACTGAGAAGCGAAATAACCACATATCGTCTTGTCTCCCATGACCTAATCGACTCCTCCTGCTGGCATTAGGGAATAGAGATCATCATTCAGAAGAAGGCAGAAGGTTTTAGGAGGTGTGCTTAGATGAGGTCTGGGGTTAATGAAATCACTGGATAAATCATCCTAATAAAGAAAGAAAGAAAGAAAATATCAATTAATTTACATGCTTTAAGCCTCCAAGCCTGCTATTTCCAGTCTATTCTCCAAAGCTTTGATCTTGTTTCAAGTTGGGAAATGGATGATTAGCTTTAGCCTATGTTTTTCCTCATTGAAAAATAGGAATGTGTTAGGAAGAGCATGGAAAAAGTAGAACTGGAGTTTGGAGAACAAAGGGAGGAATATTCATGTTAACTGCGAGAGATGTAGGGGCTCAGAAAAAAAAATCATATAATTGTCTTTTCTCCTTATTATTTGCCTAAAACAACAGTGAGTTCAGAACCAAAATAGAGACATATACCAAACAAGTTGAATTCTATAGGTTGCAATTTTATCTGTTATTACATCTCTTCAAAATGTTATCTAGCACCTGCCTGACATGAGACATATATAATGACCTGCTGATGCTTGAGAGCTTTTTTTTTTATTGTTGCAGTCCTTGTTATGCAGGAAAAAAAGGAGATTTATTGACCTTCCCATGAGCTGCATGTCTGGCTAAGGCTAGGTTAAGACTGTTATATTTCCATTGGTTGTATGGGAATATAAAAAGAGAGAAGGATCCAAGTCTTTGTTTGTTGCTTAAAAAGAACCTGAAGCACATGTTACTACTTTATGAAAAGGTTGCTGCCAAGGTGGAGTTGCTCTCACATACAGTACACATATACCAAATCTAAACAGCATCTATAACTGGCAGCAATTTTGGGGGGGGGGGAGAAGCGGGGGGGGGGGGGGCAAAGAGGTATAACTATATCTGCCAAGGGACAGCTGATCTCATTTTCAGAAATGGTAAGTTTTTTTCCCCTTCCCAAACATAAGTTAGTTTCAGACAGTCAGTCCCTTCAAACTCTTACTCTCTTTGCAAACCATTTTGCTCCACAGCTTCAAAAAGAGACATTGTCCAAGGTTGGCGCATATCTCTGCTTAGCCCCTCCAGTCTTGTTTCTCCTTGATTAGGGTTTTTTGCATTTCTTGTTTGGGAGGGAGAGAACATAGAATGGTCACTATTCATAGGTTGTTTTAGGATAGTAGTTGGCTATTGGAGATGTTTTAGTCTATTATTGACTATTGGAGATGGTACTGTTGCTGGTGCTTGCGTGAGAGACAAAAACACCTTGTTTAGATATAAAAGTGACAGATGGAAGATGCTCAGATTTTAGTCACATCAATGGATCAATCAGAATAGAGCTGGAGGGGACCTTGGAGGTCTTCTAGTCCATCCCCCTGTTCAGATTCCCTCAGGGATTAAGACTTTCTGAGCTTACTAATGTCAGTCCTAATTATTGGCCTCACTCATCTCTATGCTTTTCATCTTTGGGCTATAATAGAATAACAAAGCTGGAAGAGTCCTTGGAGGTCTTCTTGTCCAACACCCTGCCTAAGCAAGATATTTTATACCATTTCAGACAAGTGGTTGTTCAATCTCATTTTAAAAACTCCCAGTGTTGGGGCACGCACAACTTCTGAAGGTGAAGCCTATGGTTGAGTGGCAATGGAACCTGGCTATCTGATTTGCAGGCTTTGGAGCCAGCATTTTTGCACTTGCAAAAGAGCATTGCACATTCCAGATCCAGAGAGAGAGGCTGGATAGTTGCCACTAGATTACCTACAGCTGGTAAGAAGGTATGGGGAGAAGAGGAAACCAACAATCAAATGTCCAATCAACAGATTATAACTAGTGGGGGATCCAATCACCTGTGAAAAGGGGGATTATCTCTACAGAGCCTCTCTTGTTTTCTCCCTAGATCAATTGGTGAATATTGCTTTAGATGGGAGTAGTAGACAAGTTCAAGAAATCAATTACCCAAGGAAGTTAAAACATTTTTATTGTGACAGAAACTTGAAAGTCTGATTGCATTATACTTCTCCCCATTCAGTTGTCAATTGTCTGTCTTAGCTGCTTTCAAAGACTATCAGTCTATTGTGGACTTAAAATATGTTTTACTTCTTGTTGCTTAGGTAATAGGTTATATATCTTATCTAGAACTTCTAAATCATCTTATCTAGATCTTCTAGATCATCTTCTTTACTCTTCCCACTATCAGATAATCTTCACACTTCTCTTTCCCTGAGCTGGCAGTGGCAGATCAACTTTGCAGTATCCTAGAAAAAGTAGATCATTTCAACCCTTTTCACTTGGTTCAGCCTGAGTATGAGATGTAGTCATCATTGGCTGCTCTCTTGGATATCCGGACCTCTATGGGGTGTACCACCCCTCTTAGTTCATTGGACCACTCAATGACTTTTAATATTATCAATGTAATGTGCTCCATTTGGAGCTGCCCTGAAAGACAACTCAGAAACAACAACTGATTCCAAATGCAGCCGTCCACGTTTCCAATGTTGTATATAATGCATTTTTGTGACCCATGTACTACTTGTCAATCAGTTTCTAGATAGGCTTGTTTTTTATATCTATAGCACTTTATGGAACCTATGGGACCACTTACTTCAACCAGTACTGGCTCAACCTATTAAAACAACTAGTAGAAGCACATCCACATATTTTACAGATTTGCATAGCTAAATGCAGAGGATGCACCAATTCCTCTTCCATGCTGATTTTTCAGAAATTTTCCTACAGTTCAGATATGAAGCTACCCTTTATTTTTATTGTTGCATTGTTTTAGCTGATGGTTGTTTTTGTCACTGTTCCTCCATAGTTTAAAATGTTTTAAACTGTAAACCTCTGAGAGTAATTTTAACTGAGGTTGAATAGAAATATGTTTTCAATACAGGCATGTATATTTTAGCCCAAATAAGGAAGAATATTTGAAAGCAGCTTAGCCAACCTAAAACCAAGTTGCAAATATGAATTGAATTAACATGGCATTATATGTAGGAATAGAAAAAAAAAACAGCATTTTTTCTTTAGACTAAGAATTTATTAGCCCCCAATTCCCTTTATTCTTCTTTGGAAGTATTTTTAATTATACTTTCCTCTTACACAGAAGTGTTCTCAGAGGAGTTACTAATGGAGTAATAGTAGTGGTAGTAGTAGTAATAATGCACAGCAATAAAACAGTGGCCCAATGGAGAGATTCTGAGAAGTGTCATGAGAACATTTCTCCAGCATTTTTTCTATTCGTTGTCATATGATTTGACAAAGGAAAAATTACTTCCAGATTTTTTCCCAAAACAGAAGAAAATTTAGATCAAAATTGTTGTCAATAGAATATGCTGATGCATTTTCTGAAACTCCTTGAGAAGAGGGTGAATGTGTTTGATTGTGATTGTGATTGTGGTGTCCCTCCACTGTAGAATCCTTTCTCAGGAAGTTTACCAGCTCCCAGGTTTTCCATCTTCCAAGTGAAAATGTCATAGGACAGGGGTGTCAAACTCAATTTCACTGAGGGCCACATCAGCATCGTGGTTGCCATTGGGGAGCCGGGTGGGTGTGGCTGGCATGGGCATGGCCTACTGGGTGGGTGTGGCTGGCATGGATGTGGCCTACTGGGTGGGTGTGGCTGGCATGGATGTGGCCTACTGGGTAGGCATGGTCAGCTCGATATCACGTCAGGGGCACCTGTGTGGGGCTGGGCAGGACTGGGGTGCATCCGAGGGTGGGGAAGGGTGGGTGGGACTAGGGCAAGCGCCAGGGCATGGTCCACTGGAGGAGCTTCACTGAACCTCAGTCTGTGCACGGGGTTCCTGGACCTTGGCATGGACTGCCCAGAGCCCTGGGCAGCAGAGGTCAAGTGCCCAGCCCAGCCCTTGAGCTGCCTAGCCTAGCGGCACTTCCCTGAGGGAGTGCCCAGCTGCACCTACCTCCTCCTCAATGCTGCTGCTGTTGTGCTCACTCTCCTTGGCCAGGTTGCTCATGGTGGGTGCAGGAGGACAAAGTGCTTGGGTCAGAGGGAGGCCCACTCCTTCTCCATGTGAGGAAACCTGGCTTTGTAACTAAAGCATCCTCAGCAATAGGATGAGAGACCACCAGGGGAAGGCAAAAGGGCAAGAGGGCTGCTGGTGGCCAAGTGCTAAGGCAGGACTTTCCTCAGACCCTCCCTCCCTCCCTCCTCTTATTCCAATCTCCTTCCTTCCTCCCTCCCTTCTCTCCTTTCTTTCCTTCTTTCCTTCCTTCCTCCCTCCCCTTCTTTCCTGCCTCCCTCCTTCTCATTTCCATCTCCTTCCTTCCTTCCCTTACTTTCTTCCTGTTTCCCTCCCCTCCTCCCCTCCCTCCTTCTCTCTGTGCCCAGGAATGGACGAGGGAGGGGAAGAGGTTGGCAGCACTTCTCTCAAAGAATAAGAATTGGAAGAGACCTTTGAGGTCTTTAGTCCAAGCTTCTGCTCAAGCAAGAGACATATACCATTCCAGACAATGGAATATCCAATCTCTACTTAAAAGCCTCCAATGATGGAGCAGCCACAACTTCTGAAGGCAAGCCTTTTCACTGGTTAGTTGTTTTCATAAGTCCCTAGTTCTAGGCTGGTTTTTTTCTTGATTAGTTTCCATCTATTGTCTTCTGATGCTTTGGAAAATAGATTGACCCCCTTCTTCTCTGTGGCAGCCCATCAAATATTGGAACACTGCTATCATGTCACCACCCCTAGTCTTTTTCACTAAGTTAGACATACCCAATTCCCACAAACATTTGTAATATGTTTTAGCCTCCAGCCCCCTAATCATCTATGTTTACCATCCATTTAGACCAGATGGTCCCCCTGGTTTGGTTTATAGAACAGTGGCCACAAGCAGAGCCTTCTCAGAGACAGCACCCGGGCTGATGCAAATGAGCTGCAGCTCTGCTGCAAACCACCAGCCCTAGTGCTCTCCGTTTTCTTTGTGCACCAAGGCGCCCAGCTGGGTTGGGGTGGGCCAAGTCTGGGGCAGCGGGGGCTGGTCTCTTGCCATTTCTGGGACAGCCCTGGGGGGCCAAATCTGGGCCCTCCCCGGGCCGCATCCATCCCGGGGGCCTTGTGTTTGACATGTCTGCTCTAGGAAGCAGCAACCTCTTCTAGGCATGGTCAATTCTACCTCTAATATTTTATTGATTTATTTGTTAAATTGATTTGCTGCCTATCTTCCCATGGGGCTTCTCTGGGTGGCTAACTGCCAAAGGTTCTTGGAATTTTGGTAACACTGTATGCAAGATTTCATGAGATTTCCAAGAAATCATCCAAGGTTTCCATTTTGGCATTTTCTGTTGGAAGTTTTAATTAGAATTTGGAGTTTTAGCAGTTTCCTGTAAATCACATTACATGCTCCTGGTATTGGGTTAATGTCCTCTACAGACATCAGTCTTAATTCTTTGGTATCATGGATAAAGAAAAATATACTGTACTCCAAAAGTCAGCATGCAATTAGTTACTCTCTTCGCAGCATTTTTGCTTCTCGATGCTTACTATTCTCCCATCAGCTTGCCCCAATCTAAACAATAAATAAGTACATCAGGTCCTATTTTTGAGGGCACAACAGTGTTTGATAAATTGTGGTTTAAGATTAAATAAGGTACTTTTATTAAATCAGACCAAAGGAGTTGTCTACCTTTGCTTTGTCAATTATGACCTTGAAGATGTTTATGGGAAACCTTCTAGAAAAAATTATTCCTATCAGAAATACTCAAAAAAAATTCCCAAGGAACTATCAGAGGGAAAATATGAATTCATATATCCAAAGCATAAGCTACACAATGAAGCAATGATTTTCTTTCTAAATTAGTGCTGGGTAGTTTTTGGAAAGAGATGGAATAAACTGTAATAATGATAAATTGTAACAATGGAAAGAAGAACTTCTATGGATGTGCTTTGCAAAATATATTTATTTGTTTAATTTATTTAATTTATATAGCCACCATCTCACATTAGTAATTTTTTTCAGAATCGACTCTGCCAATACTTGAGGCTAAAACATACAAAGAACAGTTACAGGAATTGGGTATGTCTAGTCTAATGAAAAGAACTATGTTATACCCAACTGGGTTATATTTCATTATCTATGATTCTAACATGTTTGCTGACGAGAGATTATGGGAACTGAAATCCTACAAAGGAGAGCTCTAGGATGGGAGAATTTGGTGTAGACTATATTGAACTAGATGGGTCAATGATATGATGATACGAAACATACAAACAAAACATACAAAAAACATACGAAGAACTGTTGCAAGAATTGGGTATGTCTAATCTAATGAAAAGAAGGACTAGGGGAGACATGATAGCGCTGTTCCAATATCTGAGGTGCTCCTACAGAGATGAGAGGGTCAAACTATTTTCCAAACACCAAAAGGCAAAATGAGAAACAATGGATGGAAACTATCCAAGGAAAGAAGCAACCTAGAACTAAGAAGAAATGTCCTAATGGTGAAAGCAACCAATGGAACAGCTTGCCTTCAGAAGTTATGGGTGCTCCATCAGTGGAGGCTTTCAAAAAGAGACTGGACAACTATTTATCTGAAATGGTATAGGGTCTCCTGCTCAAGCAGGGGGTTGGATTAGAAGACCTCCAAGGTCTCTTCCAAATCTATGTTCTAATACATAGCTGCTATCATTGATACCTACTAGGGTTTTTTTTCCCTTCTGGTCCATAATTTGCATGAAGGATCCATCTGAAAAATAATGCATATTTTAGAAATTTGCGGAAAAAGAGAAGGAGATACAGCATATTAAACATGCACGTATTACAATTAGTGACATTTAAAAGTAAAAGATCTGCATTATATTAAATGTGCTCAGGAGGTTTACATCAACAATGAAATGTGTAAGTTAAAAAAAGTTGGAAAAAGAAAAAGTTGCAGGGTTTTTTGTGTGTATTGTAACTAGCAACAGGTAGTTAAACTGTCTAGATGGAGAGAGATTTTTTACATCTCTGCATATTATAAAACTCCAAGTCTCCCAGGAGATAAAATTATCATTTTATGTTATTTCAAGCATTTAAGGTCACATCTACCACTGGGCTGCACTTCATTAAATCCTTTGTTTTTCTGGGAACAACAGGTCAGATTTCTCAAAGGAGTAGGGATGCTTTATCTAAAGTAAACTTACAAGTTTGATTCTTTGGACAGTTTCTGCCTAGCTCAGAACCACTGAAGATAAAACTTGACTAACAAAGAACAATTAGAGGGGGGAGGCCTTAATTTTTAAATGGCAAGGGAAGAATTGCCTATATCCAGTCTCCTGTGAAAGGTTTAGTTCGTGGTGGGCAAGAATCATTAAGAGAAACACTATACAAGTGTGAATAGAAATGATACTTCCTTAATGAAAGTCACATGATGGAAAAGCCTTGCTGCTCTATTTAGCAAGTAAAATAAGACTGTAAGTGTCCCTGAGTGGTAGATCAGATTTACAGTAAAATTGGAGCGTAGATTTGTATGTGTGTGCTGAAAACACACAGTCTTTCCCCAAAGGTCTACAATTGGCAGTGGTGAATGGCTAATTCAAACCTTCAATTATCCATGAGGGAAACTGCATATTTCCTATAGTGTTGTTATATAGACTGCAAAAAGAAGAGTCTGCAGTCTATGTAACCTCTTGCATTTAATGAACCCCTTTAATTCTATCCATCTGCATAGCAGTGACCTTATATAATCATGTTTTAAAAAATGGAATAAGAAGTCTCCAGTGTGTCATTCCCTAATACTAGATACTAGACAATAATACTAGGCATGCAAATAGCAATGTTTTGGCTGTCAGAAATAACTTCACTCCATAATGTTTGTGTATGACATAGCTATAATTGCCCATTTCCCAGCTTCATTTTTGGGAGAGCAAAATTCACCAAGGAAGAAGGAAGAAAAATAGCAAGGGATGGATGGGCAGAGAGGAAAGTTGGAAAGTGCTGCTGGAAATCAAAAGACCAAAAAATGCTTGCTTATAAATATTGATAGGAGAACATTTCACATGCTATGTTCAATGCTGAATGGTGCATATTATTCTTATTAATGTTTCATAAACATTTGTGTGAAAAACAATATGCTTTACTTTGCTTCTAAGTATTAAGTAGAGTTACTGCAGCATCTGCTACCAATGGTTGAGTGCACAAGCTATTCGTGCCTTGTCATAAATCCTGCGATGCATTAAGATGTCATTAAATGTACCTTCTGTGGTTGTCTCTTAATTTACATACTCTGTAAATCATCAGGTAAAAATCAAGTGAACTAGAGAATAATCCCCTGTGTTCTTTCCTTCTGCTCCAGAATTCAGTGCATCCCATATTTCTCACCATTCGCAGGCAGGGAACAAGCATCTGTACATAGAGTTTCTATAGTATATATCAATGCACAAATGTAGGTATTGATAAACAAAGAGACATGCAGAGATATAAATAGAGAGGAAAGGGATGCCATAAGATGGAGTCCATGTGAACAGTAACACCAACAGACATTTTCCTTGATGTCTGGCAGCCTTCCTGTGTTATTTGACTTAAATGTTTTCAAAAATATTTTCATCTTTAAATTAAAAAAATCAATGGGGAAAAGGCTTGCCACGATACCAAGTGCTGTCTTCTCAAATCATCTTTATTTTCAAAAATATGTCACATGGCTATTTTTAAAACATAGTGTGAATGCCCTTCCATCTCTTGCCCTTCCATCCCAAAGAAAAAAAATTGTATCCTGCAGTAAGTATGCCAGAGAAGCATTTCTTGAGGTTATTTAATGATAGATGTCATTTCATAACTGGCTGGATCCATCAGGGAAGGTACATTTTTGAGCCAATGTTTCTCACTATGGTAGACATGTATGATTGCTTACAATAGGATCTCCAAATTCAGTTAATCCCAATCTGTTCCCCACCACTACCGTCACCACCAAATTATAGGTCTGGTGTATATTGTATGTATATCACTATAGGAGCATTTTGATCTACAGCCTCCAGGTCAGTCTTTAAAAAATTTATTTTCAGAGCCAAAATGGAAAATGAGGGGTCCTTGGTACTCTCTGAGTTTGGTTGTCTTCTTGCAAATGTTTCATTACCCAAGCTAGGTGATGTCATCAGTGATAGTAGAGAGTGGGGTTGTTCTCAATTTATATTCTAGTGGCTTCTACTGGAACCAATGATAAGCCAATCAAGGGTAAATTAACAAGATCTCAGGGACTCAACTACCCTCTCAATCTCCCAGGCCTGGAGAACAGCCAAGTATTAAGAGCTTTCCAAAAAGACCCCAGTGTTGGGTCAGCCTAATCTCAGGTGGTATAGAGTTACAACAGAAAAGGTGCTGCAACAGAAAATGCTTATTTCTTAGGTCTTGCTGCATGACATTCTTTAAATCAGGGGTTCTTAACCTGGGCGATATTGCCCCCCAGGGGGCGATTTCATTTTTCAGGTGGGCAATGGAACGAAAAGGGGTGACGCGGGGGCGAAAGAACAAAAAGGGGGTGATATGGGGGCGATGGAGCGAGAAGTTTTGGGGACACTTTTGAGACTTTTTTGTACAGTGAATCGCTGTATATCTGTCGTACAAAAACATCAGATCGCTCGCTATTAGTGGATTGAATTGTGTTTTCAAATGTTCCTCCAGCTAGCTTCAGTACAGAACGCCGTACATATGTGAATATGCATTGCTTATCTTCATGCAGCCTCTACCCATACAGTGGCGCGCCATTGGCCAGAATGGGTAGTGATGGAGGGGGGAGCACTTCTTTCGAAACATCCCATGCTGATTGGCTGTCCTCTGTGACGTCAGCTGTAATGTCAACATAACTGTTGAACTAAGTTTATCAACGTCCACGTGTGTTTTTCTAGTGTGCGTGACTATATATACTTTCCTTGAATCTTAATTTAGTTTCAGAGTTTTCGTCTTGAAATTCTTAGTTCCTGCACTGCGGTTTGTTCTTATGCCCTTTTTATATTTCTTTTTAAATTTCACTTGTAATTCAGTCATTAAATGTTACTGTTTTTCTTTTCGGGCATTTCACTTTCTTGCAATTGAATTTTGTTTTCAGTGGTCATTACATTTAAGTGTCTTGAATAAATAAGATAATAATGAAATACATGTATCACGAAGTTTGGGAATAAAGTGACAGGTGGCACCAAATTTTTCCCGCAGTTGAGATATGGGGAAAAGACTGGAAATAAATTATTTGCATCGATATGTCCTGATGACAATTTTAAAGAAAACAAAAAAAGTGTTTACATAAATTGAAGAATTATTTCCTATGTTGTGATTGAGAGGTTATATTGGGGGAGGGGGGCGATGACAACTTCCTCATTGGCTCAAGGGGGTGATTTGTTCAAAAAGGTTAAGAACCACTGCTTTAAATGATAGAACCCAGAACATCCCTTCCTGCTTGGCCTGCTGGGGCAGGTAGAAGCAACTGGAGAAATAACCTAGTCCTGTGCCATGAAGGACTCTGTGGGTGAAATCAGCACCTTGAATTGCACCTAAAAGCATATCAGAAGTCAGTGCAGCTCATGAAGCAAAAGTATACCCAGTATAGGGGCTATCTAGCTTAATAACAGTATTTATGAAATTAGTCTTCAAACCAGAAACTGAATATGAGCCACTACCATGGCATGGCTACACAAAAAAGGTAAATCTCACCTTAAGATGTTTCAATAGTATAGTTTACAGCTTGTTAAAAGTACCAGTTTCATTCTATGTTGCTCAGTTCCCAGATTAAGCATAGTGTTCAGTTTGGGGCATTATACTTTTAAAAGCATTCAGGTTAAGGCTCACCATCCCTTCTCCCCATTCACTGCAATGGGAAAATATAAGATCTATAGCCACATGTTGTATGCACATACATCTTTGCTTCTTCTGTGCATCCAGAAGTCTGCAGATCCTTTACAAAAATGCTAGGGTTGTGGGATAATTGTATAAGTGGAGCAAACATCTCACAAGCACTCAGAAATATTAGCTGATAATGCAATTTGATGCACATGGAACATCTGGTACACTATCCAGCCCAAATTAAGAACTGTTAAATTCCATAACATCCATTTTGTCAGTAGGAAACAAAACACATTGTCAGCTCTCCCAGTGCTCTGATTCTTGGCCTTGTTTCATTGGCTCCAGTAACTGATGCAATGTGATGTTTCACACCCTGCATGCATGGGTACAGGGTGGGGCCATTTTATGTAAAATCAGCATAATTAAACTCAATCACCTTGATGACTTGCTGAATGGGAAAATTCCCATTGAGCAGCTGAATTGATTCCTATAGATCAGTGGTTCTCAACCTGTTTAATGCCGCGACCCCCAACCGGTCATAAGTCGAGGACTACTCAACTGATCGTAAGTCGAGGACTACTCAACTGGTGCAGCACCGTTTGCAGAATGGGACTTTTGGCGGGCTCCCTATTGGCTTTTGAAAGCCAACAGAATTAGACTCTATTCAAGAGAGTCTATTCTATTGGCTTTCAAAAGCCAATAGAATAAAAGGGAGTAGCACAGCTAAGGAAAAGGGGAAAAAAATGGCGGACTGCGTTGTTTGGTGACCCCCGTGAAATGGTCATTTGACCCCAAATGGGGTCCCGACCCACAGGTTGAGAACCACGGCTATAGATGGTCTGGCGAACGTCATAGCCTAAAATGAACAGCAGCAAAATAATAGACTGGGGAGAGAGAACAGAAAGCAAGCAAAAGTGATTTCTGCTAACACACACAGCCAGATTAATTGATGCATCAAAGATTAATTGCGGAACTGCCAGAGGTTACTCTCTCATTCTCTTTAGCTCACTGGATTCCAGTGGGAAAAATTCCTCTAGGCCCCAAGAAAGCATAATAACCTTGTAATTCAGGGTCAGACTTTCAACTAGCATATGTTGCAACTTTCCTTATTGTCATTAGAACAAGGCACAGAGGAACTGTATGCAATCTTTTTTAGCTAAACCCAGCTTCTGGAAGGGCTGGACTCCGTCCTTTCACTTTTAATAGTATTGCTAATAGGAAAATAATAAATAACATGTCATTCTGTAGGTTTATCACGCATTGTATAAAAAGCTCCCTCGGCCCTCTTGGCAATCTCCTCCTCCTTCTTGTCTCTGCTTATGCTGTCTCCTATTTGTCTTTGTAACTCCAGTGCCCTTGAACTATTGTAGAAGAAAATATACGGAGAGCAAAAAGCTCCACTAAATGATAGCAGACTTATTATTCCCTCTTTTTGTTTTCAATACAATAACAATTGGCAGCTTCCAAAGACTTCCAAGATGTAAATAACATAACACTCCTAATAAACTCTGGATTGTTTTACATGTTTAACATGCATGAAGGTGAGAATCACCTGAAAAGCAAATCCCATATTTTCTAACTTGCTGGTGTTTTGACAGTTTTCAAAGGCCCTGATTAAATTATTTTAGTGATTCCATTTATATTTTTATGCCCATATTCTCAGATCAGTCTGCATGGTTCTTTCTCTGTCCTTTCCCATTCATAAGAAAGTTATGAATTAATTTGAGAGCTTGGTAATGACAAGAACAGTTCTGATATGCATTGCTATGAACTGCAGTATTTGACTTCTTCTGTAACTATATATTTACCAATATATATTTTCCTCCCCAGTTTTCTAAAGCAAAGATAGGGAGTAAGATTCATCTAGAAGGGGAGAGTCTTTTTTGGTGATTTCTGATAATATCAAGGGCAGTAAGCATCTCTCTGTCAGATTTTACATTAGGCATGGCAATAAATCTCAACTCTCCAGACATTTCCTCTCATATTTAGAAACTGGTTCATAGAACAAGGTCCCAGGTAAGTTGCATTGTAGCAGGCATGTTAGAAGCCATACAGAAAAATCTGCCCCTGAAAAATGCAGAAATGAGTCTACGTGTAGTTTTTGTGCCCTTGAAATTCAAGGTACTTCCATGCAGCATCACGAAAATGCTGTTATCCAGTGTTAAAACAAAATAGGTGTACTGTCCACACTAAGAAGCTCAGAAAAGAAAAGAGGGATAAAGAGAATCTTCTTGGAGACGATAACAGTAAACATAGGAGTTTTACAACTTTCAAGTAAACAACTTGCAGAACTTCTGCTCCCAGTTCTCTCAACCCATGGGATAATCATTCAATGAAATCAGGCATCAGCAGGCCATTCTTTGCCAAATGTCTCTTTCCCCCACCACTATTTTATGCCCTGCTTTTGGGGGGGGGGCAATCACTTAAATATAGCCAACAGTGTGCTGCAGCTGCAAAAAAGGCCAAGACAGTGCTAGGCTGCAATAACAGAGGGAGAGAATCAAGATCACGTGAAGTGTTAATACTACCTTACAATGCCTTGTAAGGCCACACTTGGAATACTACATCCAGTTTGGGTCACTACGATATAAAAAAGATGTTGAAACTCTAGAAAGAGTACAGAGAAGAGCAACAAAGATGATTAGGGGACTGGAGGCTAAAACATATAAAGAACAGTTGCTGGAATTGGTATGTCTAGATTAATGAAGAGAAGGACAAGGGGTGACATGAAAGCAGTGTTCCAATATCTCAAGGGCTGCCAGAAAGAAAAGGGAGTCAAGCTATTCTCCAAAGCACCTGAAGGCAGGACAAGAAGCAATGGATGGAAACTAACCAAAGAGAGAAGCAACCTAGAACTATGGAGAAATTTTCTGCAGCTAGAACAATTAATCACTGGAACAACTTGCTTCCAGAAGCTGTGAATGCTCCAACACTGGAAGTTTTTAAGAAGAGACTGGACAGCCATTTGTCTGACATGGTATAGGGTTTCCTGGTTGAGCAGGGGGTTGGACTAGATGACCTCCAAGGTCCCTTCCAACTTTATTATTATTGTTGTTGTTGTTGTTAAAGAAATAGAGAAATAGGCGACAAAATATATGACATCTTCTTTTCTTCTACTACAGGTAGTCCTCAACTTACAAACACAACTGAGCTCAAAATTTATGTTACTGGGCAAGACATTTGTTAAGTGAGTTTTACACCCCATTTTACTACTTTTCTTGCCACATTTGTTAAGTGAATCACTGCAGTTGTTAAATTAGTAACACGGTTATTAAGTGAATCTAGTTTCCCCACTGACTTTGTTGGTTAGAAGGTCGCAAAAGGGGATCACATGACCCCAGGATCCTGCAACAGTCATAAATGTGAGTCAATTGTTAAGCATCCGAACGTAAATCATGAGACCATAGGGATGCTGCAACAGTCATAAGTGTGAAAAATGGTCATAAGTCACTTTTTTCAGTGTCGTTATAACTTCGAATGGTCACTAACCAAAATGTTGTAAGTCGAGCAATTTCCAATATTTTCTTTCTTCTATGGAAAGATAAATTAGGAAAAACACTTCAGCTTGCACTCTCCTTCACACGTTTCCCTCAGCTTTCTTCCCCACCAACACCTGTACCTAGAGGGATGAAGACTGTATTTCTCTTTTACTGCTTAGGCTACAGGCTACTTGGAAGTAAAGTTGTAGTAAAGTTGCAAGGAGGAAAGGGTCACCTGAAGTGGTCCTTCCCTGGCTTTCCTTTTCATGACCTCTTTCCCACCATCATCAAATTACCTGGGGACATGTTATAGACTTAATACTGTTTCTCAAGCAAAAGATTTTTATACTTCGGTCCTGGGGGTATGTGCATCGCCATCAATTAAGTTTAAAGCTTTGGAAGAAAAGAATGTAGAATCACAGTTTGAAGAGCCTATATTTATGAAAACTGGAGAATCTTTGTGTGAGAGGCCTCAACAAGTCCAGTTTGAGGAGCAGAAGACAACTTGTGCAGTATATAATCCCAAAGAAAAGCAGCAACAGAAGAAGGTTAAGGAAGTTTCATATTTAGTGGTTTCTGAATCTCTGGGAGATGTTAGACCTACAAAGTCTTTGGAGCAATCTTTAATGGTGGAATTGTTGCCTGAAATGGAAACTGGGAAATCTCAGTCTGAGGGGCATCAACAAGAGAGGAACGGGCAGAGGATAACTTGTACAACTTACAATTGTAAAGATCAATACAAGGAGGAATTTAAGGAACCCTTATTGGCTTCGGAGTCGATGGGAGATTCAGGAATTTTGGAGCAGTCTCCTAAGGCAGAACTTGCAGCATTTCTTACGAGTTTGATACAAGAATGGAGAAGGGAAATGGAAGAATGGAAGAATGGAGAATGGAAAAAACTGGAATGTGAATAATTAATAATATTAATATAATTGAGATTGATAAGGATGTAGTTTTTTACGGATGGAATTAGTTATTGGTGAAGATTGAAATGTTTAATGTGTTTATTAACTTTGTTGTTTTAAGTTTTGAACCTTTAATGATAATATTGTTTAAATTTGTGTTTTGAAGGGATTATAATTTGCTTATTTTAGTGAGTGGATTCTAATATTTTAAATTTTAAAAAATTTGTGGTTTTGGAGGGAGTTTATATAGAGTGATGATTGTATTTAGATTTGTTTAGGATTTAAAAGTGTTTTTAGTTTTTAAATATTATTATTAATATTTTTAAGACAAAATAATTTGTTTAATTAAATGTGCTTAGATTTGTTTAGGACTTATAGGTTTTTTAAGTTTTTGTTTTTTGTTTTTTTTTTTTTTTCTTCTTTTTGGATAGGAGAGAAGATTATGAAGATTGAAGGAAATATGTACTTACTTTAAGTTCTTTAAGAGTATTTAGCTTTAATGGTATAACAAAGATTTGTATGTTTATTTTTTCGTTTTAGGATAAAGAAAGAGGGAGAAATTAGATTTTATATTATAGATATAGATATTCAAAGAAAGTAATGTTTAAATTTGTGTTTTTGGAGGGAGCTTATATAGAATGATGATTGTATTTAAATTTGTTTAGGTTTTAAAAGTGTTTTAAGTTTTTTTTTTTTTTAATTAAGCCTGTACTCAGCTCTGGGAAGTCCAGGGGAGGGTTTGGGAGCTTGGGAAGGGGGGGGGGTGAGGTAGGGGGGGGTATGGGAAGGGGATTTGTTTTTGTAAAATGTAAAAATTTTAAATAAAAAAAAAAAAAAAAAAAAAAAAAAAAAAAGGTAGAGCAAGCAAAATACTGTATATTTGACTTGTTATCCAATAACATTTCCTGATCATTAAACAGTCAGGAAGATAGATGAGCATATTTTACATATATAAGATACATGGGCATATATGCATATATTCATTCATATATACATTTAATTTGAATGAATGAATATTCCGTACCATACTAATAAACAAAAAAAAACAAGATAGAAACAACAGTAAAAATATTAGCACCAACCAGACACATCATAGCCAGGACCATAACCACATCCATAATACCCTATAAATCACCCCACCTACCTTTTAGTTCCTATGCCCAGGGTAAGAGCCAATCTTTAACGCGTCACAAAAAAGCATTAAATTTAGCTGCATTTCATTATTTTTTAAAGGGAAAAAATATTGTGCAATATGTTTAGCAGTGGGGAGGCTTATGGGTAACTAATTTCTGAGCTTACTTTTTTGAAATGCTGGAGGGGGGGGAACTGAGGATCTGTATAGCAGAGGTTAATTAATTTAGTTCCAGTTTTTATCCCTTTAGGCCTTTCTGAGTTCCCAACACTTTTTCTTCATGAAGATGAACAACTGGCTGGCTGCCTTTAAACATTTCTGTCCATTGTCCTCTAGTCATTTGTCATCATCTGGACACAATGGTTACCTTCACATTGCACTCTCACCTTGAAAGGCTCTGATCACAAGCCTCATCTACCAGCTTATACATACTTTCCCATTGCTGCTTTATCCCTCCACAAAATAGAACTGAATATGTATTTGCGTGAAATTAGATATTTCACTGCTGTCATTTATCTGTCACTAAAGTCCATCTCCCTTTAGAAGAATCTAGGCAAATCAGCTAACTGCTTATCTTTATTTCCTGTTATTATTCTGACACCAGAAATTTATGGTTTGGCATCCATGAGAAGGTGACTATCTAATTATTACAGGTAAACTGAAATGGTCTCAGCTGGAAGTTTTATCTGTTGCAACATGGTTCTTTCATTATTGAGTCAAAATTCTGAGATCCTACAGGCAGAATTAATCAGTTTTTTCCATTATTGCTTCTATTCATTGAACAGCCAACTGGGATGGGAAGGTGATAAAATATGTACTTCTAGCATATGACCTCAGGCTTCCAAAAGTCCCACCTGGCTTACAAGAATTTTTCACTGCAGTCAAATATTATTTCATTTTAAAAAGGTATATAGAAAAATTTCTAAAAGAAAGTTCTCAGCCCAGCTAATGACACAAAATAATGACACAGCCAGAGTTGTGCTTTCAGATGGGCAGCTTTACAATTCTTTTAAATAAAATTAATAAATATAAAATTTTAGCAGGTACATATGTAGAACACCTGGATATCCATGTGGGGACAAGAGAAGCAAATGATCAAATAGGCCGTGGCACCCTGATGGAATTCTGCAACTTACATGTTTGTGTCAGTTTTTAAGATCCAAATATATAATGGTGAGGTCTACAGCATGACATAACTATGTGTCCGTTTAGCATCATTGTAGCTTGTTGTGGACATAACTGGTTTATGAATACAATACAAAAACTGATTATCACACAGACTAAAAAAACAAAATGAAGAGAAACAAAGATTGAGACAAGCAAAAAGTTCATTTTTTGGAGTCAAGATATCAGAGCATGTACAGTCTTATTGTGCTGAGGTAACCCAGGAGTAAATACAGAAAATATTAGTCTGCATTAAATGGTGGTTTATATTACACTATCTACAATATAAATTAGGAGTAAAATACATACACGTGGTAATACAGCAAACTCCAACAAACAGCAGTTAGAGCAGGAAATGGATGAGAATGGGAACACAGCAGCAAAAGCCTTCTCTTTTATACTTAGGCTCTTAAAGAGATATAGACATCTGCTGAGTCATTCCTATCATTGCATCATCCACCTTATATTACATCAGCTGGTTAGCCTTTAAATCATTATCCTGACACAAAATAACACCAACCAGTAAAGCACAGAACACAGCGAGGGTGCCATTACTGAAAAGGCCCTGCTGCTGTCAGGTGAACTTTATTCAATTGGAGCATCTGGAATAGAGCTTGTGAAGAAATTAACATTCTGAATAGACATGGAGAGTGAAGGACTCTCACACAGAATTGGATCTGGCAATACAAATATGAAGATATTCTCATTTTTCCTTATAGTCATCAAGTTAAATCCTCTCTATTCAAGATAACTCAAGTAACCTTGGATTGGTCACTGTCTCTCAACTTTATCTATTCCAAGGAATTCCTCAAGGATGCAAAAGGAGGAAGATAAAGTATGTTATCATGAGATACTTCTAAGAGGAAGGATGAATTATAAATGTAATTAATGAATAGAAAAGATCCGTCATGGAACTACTGATTCTCAATGACCTGCCATAACACATTTCATCCCAAGAGTTTTGTGTTCTCTCTCTCTGTCTCTCTGTCTCTCTCTCTCTCTCTCTCTCTCTCTCACACACACACACACACACACACACACACACAAACACACACACACACACACACACACACACATGGACATTATCAAACAGCTTCTATGAACTTCAGATGCTCTCTTTTTAGTGACTTTTTGCAAGGCATTAAAGACATTTCTCTCATGAGAAGCATTTGGTTCCTGATTATGGAATAATAATAGTAATAATAATAATAATAATAATAATAATAATAATAATAATAGGGTAAGGACTCGATAGGTAGACAAAATGCCAAATCCAGTCTGAACATCTGGCTGACTGTGCAATGATCCATAATAATAATAATAATAAAAAAGTTGGAAGGGATCTTGGAGGTCATCAAGTCCAATCCCCTGCTCAAGCAGGAACCCTACACCATTTCAGACAAATGGCTGTCCAGTCTCTTCTTAAAAACTTCCAGGTTGGAGCATTCACCGCTTCTGGAGGCAGGTTGTTCCATTGGAGTCCATTTTTCTACATGTTAGTTGTGGTAATTAGTGATCCAAAGAGATAATGTTTTACAATTATTTGTGTTTTGGACTCTTGTAAATCCTCTCAAGTCATTTTACAGCACATAATGAATAATTTCCTAGAACAGGGGTCCCCAACTCTCAGTCCTTGGACGGGTACCGGGCCGCGGCATTCCAGCAACCAATCCACACAAACAAGCAAAGCCCCATCCATGGGATGCAGGCAGCACACAAAACCAGGCACTCTCCAGTCCATAGAAAAACCTCTCTCCACAGAACCGGTCCCTGGTGCCCAAAAGGCTGGGGACCTCTGTCCTAGAAGACACTAACTTCATTAATGTTCCATGCAACTACCCTGCAGATCAGAAAAGTGAGTGATTCAGAGCAGGGATCCCCAACCTGTGGTCTGCGGCCCACTACTGATTCAGAGGATAGTGGACTCTTCAAATTTTAATCAGAAATTCTTTTTAAACAGTACTTGTTTTTTTCTTAATATGCTTGTTTCTTTTGAATCCTTAATCTATAATAAAACACTTTCTATCCTAGTTTAGTACAATTTCTCTACAGGTTATTTTATGGATAATTTGCTGTTGTTCCCTAAAAAAATATTACTGCCCTTTGAATCTTGAACTATACATATTAATTAAACAATATCAGCTTTGATTCTTGAATTTGAATCAGATATTAATTGATTCTAATGGAGAGAAAGAGAGAAAGAATAGACCAGATTGTGACAAATTTCAGGATCTCACTTTAAATATATTGTTTGATATTAAAGTTACTGAAAGAAGTCCTTAATTTTCAGGATATCTTTCACCATTCTCCATTTTCTTGATTTCCTGAAACATCTGAGCGTTTGACTTAGCCCTGGGGATAAGAGTATTAGCAAAAGTCTTTGAAATGGAAATAAATCTCTGAGGGAGTGGGTTGAACTTAAGATAAATAGATAATAAATAAACACTAACATCCAGTAATCCTAGAAAATTGATTAAGCAAGATTTTAAATAAAGCACTCTTTTGCCTTTGCCTGTGAAGTGCCAGTGCTATGAATTCAGGTAGTCCTCAACTTTCAATCACAACTGAACCCAAAATTTCCATTGTTAAGACAGTTGTTAAATGAGTTTTGTCCCATTTTGCCACAGTTGTTAAGTAAATCACTGCAAATGTTATTAGTAGCACAATTGTTAAGTGAATCTGATTTCCCAAATGACTTTGCTTGTCAGAAGGTCACAAAAGGTGATCATAAGACCCCAGGACACTGCAACCCTCATAAATACATGCCAATTGCCAAGTGTCCAGATTTTGACTACATGACCATGGGGATGCTGCAATAGTTATAAATGTGAAAATTGGTCATAAGTCACTCTTTTCAGAGTTGTCGTAACTTCAAATGGTCACTAAATGAATGGTTGTAAGTTGAGGACTCCCTGTATATTAGAAAGTCCAACTATACTCTTAGAAACCTGATTTTTTTTTTAAAAAAAAGGGATGCTTGTAATGAATCAGCATATTGGAATATTAAATTATCACAATTGGCTCTGAGTGATTAATAAAAGCGGTTGCAACCATTTCAGTAGCATTCCAGGTAATGTACCTATTGTGTATGTTCTATGCCACACATTTACATCATTAAGGCATAACTTTCCTTACCACAATTGCCTTTTCATCTTACTCTCCTTTTTTTATGAGTATCCATACCTGTTAGAGGATGGCAAGTGGCTCAATGTTTAAGAGCTGGGCTTGTCAGCTGAAAATCTGGCAGCCCAGGTTTGAGACATGAGTGCCATGTGACAGGGTGAGCTCCCATTACTCACCCCAGCTCCTGCTCACCTCTCAGTTTGAAAGCATGTAAATACAAGTAGATAAATGGGTATCATTTTGGTGGGAGGATAACAGCACTCCATGGTGTCATACTGGCCACATGACCACAAAAAAGTTTTCAGGGCTGGCTCAATGTCCTTGAGATGAGTACTGCCCCCTATAGTTGGCAACAACTAGCAGAGTAAAGCTTTCTGTTCTAGTGAAATGCTATTCTCTTTCCTAATTAAATTTAATTTAGCCCACCCACGTTAGTCTCACCAGTAACTGGTCAATTAGTTCTGAATAAAAGAACAAATTGTTGGAATATTGATTATTTCAACTATTGCTATGGTGCTTGTAACATCAAGTCAAAATACATGTATTAATCAATAGGAAGCAGTGGAATGTTACAACCACCATAATTGAGATTGTAAGTAAGAGAGGATATTCTTTAAAAGCTTCCTCATATAAAAGCCTTCCTGAATGCAGTAAACTAGTAAGAATGAAAGGAGAAAGTTGACTACATTAAAGCTTTATCTATGGTATATTAATATACTTTGTGTAAAAGCTTTTCATATAAGGAAACATTAGGCTGTATCTGGACTGCAAAATTGTGAACAATTCTGAATGGCTACAAACATGTATACAAAATGCTAAGTCTCTACTATCAAATAAATTGGGCATCCAGAGGTTTGATTGTGAGCTTCCCAGAGTTGGTTGAAAGATGGGTGGTTATATAAATGTTTTGAATGAATGAATGAATATTTAAAGCCCAAATAAGGTAGTCATATCATATTTCAATTGTTACCTTTTAATCTTTTACACAATGATGTCAGGTTTAATGGGACCTTGCAAAGTTGATCTTAGTTTTTAAGTTTTTAAATTTCTCTTCTTGATTTGCCCATTCTTCACCCCAGTGCTTGGCCTGGCCCAGTGCTCCCTCCATTGTGCCATACAAACAACTTTTTCAGTCTTCCTCAGCTATATTTTCTCTCTCTATCCACCACCAAACCACTTTCCTCAGTTGTCCATCCTCCCCACCCACAAAGTTTACTAGAGTTACA